GTAATCAGATCAGGGGGTCCTCTTTCTTCAGCCTCTGGACAGAGACAGTTAGGGAGAATGTCCCCATGGTAACATGAAACCTGAGTGCCTGCATTCGCCTTTTCAGAGCTTTTAACCCACACATTGTTTAGATGTGCCAAATCCATTTTGGTTTTACATATGGCCCTATTTGAAGTTGCTTTGGAAAGAAGTCTAAAAAGAAAAGTAGAGCCCTCTGGGAGCAACAGAAAGTGAAGACTCTTCCCTCTGTGGGATCTACGTCACACTTGACTTTCTTCTTTCCTGTTGAGCCCCACGGAATGCTCCCCAGGCACCCCGAGCTGCTCCTGAAATGCTGCCCCTAAAATTCCAAACTTGATTTAATATGACTTGCTTAATTGACCTTTAAAAAATTCATTTTGTCATCTAAAAATGAACACTTAACAGGAGTAACTGCATTTGGAAAACAGAATGTCTATTCTCCATTTGGTTACTGCAGATAAGCTTTCCATGCGCTTCCTTTTCAAAGCTCAGAATGTCTGCTGAACTGTAAAATAATTGAAATAACGTTGGAGTTTTAAAGCTGTCCAAAATTAAGCTGCTCAGAATTTATGGTAATTTCAAAGAACTGCTACAGGTCTTTGCATTAGAAGAAAACTATGTAGTTGTTTAAAAGAGAGGCTCTTTTCTGTAATTGTCAATTCTGATACTTGAAATAATCATCTTTTAATGTTAATTTTTGTGAGACAAAGAGAAAGAGAAAGGAAGTATTAGCAAGGGAGGGGGCAGGGAGCAGGAGAGAGAGAATCCCAAGCAGGCTCTGCACTTTCACCACAGAGCCCAATGCAGGGCTCAAACCCAAGAACCATGAGATCATGACTTGAGTCGAAGTCCAACACTCAACTGACTGAGCCACCCGGATGCCCCTGAAAATAATCATTTAATACTTCTTGTAAGATATAGGGTTTTGCATTAATACTGTGTGTAGAAATAACAGTGTCTTGAAAATATTTTCTGTCCGTTTGGTGGATATTAGGGATTACAAAGTCAATTTTCTCAATAAGTCATGGCTATGCAGTTATCTATCTTCTTATTTCTAAAAGGGATTTTTCCTGTGGCTTAGTGGCTCTCAGCCACGGTGATCTTACCCCCTGGGAGACATTCAACAGTGTCTGGAGGCCATTTCAGCAGTGGTCACAACTTTGTAGAGCAAATGCCAGGGGCATCTACTGGGAGAAGTCCAGGAGTATTTCTACACATTGTACCATGTGCATGACGGTGCCCATGACAAAGAACCATCTAGCCCCGAATGTCAGTAGTGTTGAGGCTAAGATGATTGCTTTGCAGAATCCATAGTCTTATTCACCATTAAAAAACAAATTGTTTTAGCTCCTAATGTGCAAGTATTTAGTATCACTGTTTTCTCCAACCAACATTTTTTTTCATGTTTATTCATTTACTTTTGAGAGAGAGAGAGAGAGAGAATCCCAAGCAGATCCTGCACTCTCAGTACAGAGCCTGACATGGGTCTTGAACTACTGAACTGTGAGATCATGACCTGAGCTGAAATCAAGAGTTAGACGCCTAACCGACTGAGCCACCCAGGCGCCCCTCTAAATGATAATTTTGTTACATTCATTGTTGTGTGTTCTTATTTATCATAAACCACGGTGTAGACACAAACTGAAAGTTAAATGTATAGAAATGAAGGAAATATGAGCAAATCTTGAAACATTAGCAATTTTGTAATGATTGTTAAAAATCGGTCCTACTTACTGAAAGAGTTCTACATCTGAGACAAGATGTCGGGTGCTTTCTGTGCTTGTCTTAGCATCTTTGTAGGAGGGAAAAGATGGTCTGTCTTTCCACATCAGACTTGCAGGAACAGCTCGTGTGTACATGTGTCTTCTGTTAGACCTTCAACTTTATGGGATTTCTATCAGGGGAGAGAAATTGTCAAACTCTTTACCAAGAACTCGTGGAAGAATTAAACCTGAAGATTCCTGTTTGGGCTTTGACACTGACTGGTTGGGAAATATTGGCCAAGATCCCCATTTCTCTGGGTCGCTGATACCCCTTTTGGAAAGCAGGGTGCAGCTAACTTAGAGTGGGAAAAGAACCTGTACACTGAATGCTCCTTAAATGCCTGTGCTGGTTCTTAGCAGTTTTGAAATCTGATTCTGGGCTCTAAGAAATGAATCTGTATATTCCCTCCTTGGGAAGATGGAGACAGGGGACTGCCCCAGTCTGCCTGGATGGATTGGCACTTAGCTCAGAAAGGTCCCTCCAAAGAAATGCCTGATGTCTTTCCATCTTTACTAGGTGTTTGGTACATAAACTGTCTAACATAATTTTTCCCCATTCCATATACGGATATAGAGTAGAATGCTGTATAAGAATACATTACTGACAAGCATCTTCATAGTCTTTTAAAGAGGTAAATTAAAAATATTTACCAGGAAAGTAGTATGGCCATGGCGATTCTTTTGCCCACATGTTTTGGCCTGAAGTCCCTTATGAATCGACTGAATTAGGAGGAAGTCAGCATAGTACAGATGCTCTGTGCCCGACCGAGGCTCCCCAAGAGGGATTCCCGGATAGGTTTTCACATTCCTAGTACGATTCTTCTTGGCTGTCATTCTGAGACACTTGAACTTGTGGGATCTTAGAGAAGATGCCTCAGGGACTTCACCCCACTGTTTCACTGGAGTGGGGCTGGGTACCCCTTCTCTCGGGATACATCAGGCATAAAGTGATGGCAGATACACATGCCTGCTCTTTCCCCTGGGCTTTCAAGTGCCCGAGAGCCGGGATTCTGCATCTGTGCTCCACCTCCTGAACCTCAGAGAAGCTTTATACGTGCCTGTCCAATGAGCAGGTGTTCGGGAGAAAAGGAAGGGGCATGTTGGGAGATCCACATTTCCTTTTAGGTTGCGCCCCTGATCTTTCATATGCCCTTTTGTCTGTGATGCTTGTGCACATACAGCTTATCCGACAAACCCCTGGACAGCGAAATGGTGACCATTACTTTTCGATCGGGACATGTGGTGTGGCTCCCCTTGTCTGTGCAGGAGGGGGAGCGAACCTGGGCCCGGTGACCTCCCAGCCCTGGCTCTCTTCACACCCACTGTGAGCAGAGCCTTTGCCCAGCTCCCTCTCGTGAACACATATCCTCACTCCCCGCAGAAGAGCTGGCACGTTGTCTCTTTGTCGCTCCAGCTGCGCCGGGGTTGGGGGCTCCTCATGTAACATGCGTCACTCTGAACGTGGAACGAGCTCCTTCCTTATATAGCTTCACTTTTGTTCTCAAGCGAAGAGCCTTGGGGCAGAGCTCACCGGGTGCCACTCTTCTGTTCCCCTGACCTTGGCTCTCTTACCCCTGATTTACCCCTTCACCCTCCTCAGTGTCCTTCCGTGTCTGCTGCTTTTGTAATGAAATCGGCCTGTTCTGTTACATACTAAACCATTTCCGTCTCCATTCCGAATCTTTCTCCAAGCTCTCCAATCGATTTCCTTTTTCACTGAGGCGTCGTTCACATAACATCGGTTAGCCCTTTTGAAAGGAAGAATTTGGTGGCATTTAGTACATTCACAGCGTTCTGAGACCATCCCCTCCATCCTGTTCAGAAAGTCTGTCATCACAAAAGGGATATGGTGACCTCCCATATCCCCCTTTTCCAGCCCCTTGGCAACCACCAATTTGCTTTCTGTCTCTCTTAGTTTATTTACTCTAGATACTTCATTCAAATGGAACCGTCTATTGTAAGGGGGCTTTTGCCTTAGCTTCGTGCACTTAGCACGGTGCTCCTGGGGTTCATCTGTGTTAAAACCCGTTATCTCAGGTCTTCATTGGCTTTCCTGGCTGGCTGGTGTCCCGCTGCACGGATGCGCCACAGGCCGTGTATCTGTTCATCCATTGATGGACGTTTGTGTTGTTTCTGCTTTTTGCCTATTGCGAACACGTCTGTACATGTATTTGTTTGAATGCCCGTTTATAATTCTTTAGGGAATAGAGTTGAGACTGGGGCCGCCGGTCCTGTGGTGTTTCCGGGCTTAACTTTTGGAGAAACTGCCAGACCGTTTTGATAACAGCGGGACCGTCTCTAAGCCGTTGCGATCTGTTGCACGTCCACACCGTTTGATCCACTTGCACGAGCTCTGCCAGGTGACACCTGCCCCCTCCAGGGCTCTCGCGAAACAGCTGGAGACATAGCTCGGGATCCGGGTGTGCGTTTGGAGCACAGTGCTAAATGCGAGGAGTTTAGGACCAGCTTTGCATCCAGGTCCAGGGAGTGCTCAGAGTTACCTAATGTCTGCAGTCGTTTGGGGATCAAAACTGGAAATCTTCACAACTTGAAAAGGAATGAGTTTTTGCCCTCACGAGAGTTAGTCCTTTAATGTAATCTGTTGGGTTTCTTTGAACGTGCTGTCTTATTTTGTCATAACACTACTTTAAAAAATTTTTTTTTAAATATTTTTATTTATTTCTAGGAGAGAGAGAGAGAGACAGCGTGAGCAGGGGAGGGTCAGAGAGAGAGGGAGATACAGACTCTGAAAAAGGCTCCAGGCTCTGAGCTGGCAGTCAGCACAGAGCCCGACGCGGGCTCGAACCCACGAACCGCGAGATCATGACCTAAGTGAAAAGTCGGACGCTTAACCGACTAAGCCACCCAGGCGCCCCATAACACTACTTTTTTAAATGGGTGCGGTTCAGGGCGCCTGGGGAGGCTCAGTTGGTTAAGTATCTGACTTCGGCTCAGGTCATGATCTCACAGTTCATGAGTTCGAGCCCCGCGTCGAGCCTGGAGCCTGCTTCAGATTCTGTGTCTCCCCTCTCTCTCTGCCCCTCCCCAGCTCGCTCTCTGTCTCTTTCTCTCTCAAAAATAAATAAACATTTTTTAAAAACCCCATAAAACTACACGGGTGCAGTGCGTGGTGTTCTGTGCAGCCTTTCGCGGGAAGGAGAGGGAAGCCCTGGGGAACGGGCGCGCTCCCTGACTCTCCCTGTTCTTCTCCCGTAGGTGTCCTTCTTCCTCTTCATCATCTTCGTGGTATACACCATGCTGCCCTTCAACATGCGCGACGCCGTCATCGCCAGCGTGCTCACAGCCTCCTCCCACACCATCGTGCTGAGCGCCTGCCTGTCTGCAACGCCGGGGGCCAAGGAGCACCTGGTCTGGCAGGTGCGTGACTGCCCCCCCTCACACCCCCCTCCACCCCTCCACCCCCCCGCCTCTGGGTGCCAGGGGTGCCATACACCTGTTAAGGGTATGGCTGGGGTACCTGCCAGGGGCTCGGGGGCTGCTCTCTGCCGCTAGTGGGGAGCAGCCACACCCCGCCTCCATCAGTGGAATCAACGCGAAGCAATCAACAACAGCCATCATGGGAAATGGCAGCTCCGCTTTGCTGATTGCCGAATGCTCGTAGGATTCTGATGTTTAAAGCTGTTCTTCCCATGCGTGAGAGCGCAGCACCCTTATTTTTAGAGTGAAAGTAACTTACACAGTTAAATTCATACTTCTCCCCCACCTTCATATCCCAAACCCTCCCTTTGCAGAGAAGGAAAGATCTCCATTTCCTGACCTTCTGGCGGGTCCATGGGCATTGAAAAATAAAACTTTTCAAATGCTGCGACAGCAAATTTAGCTTTGCTAGTAAATGGCATTTTGAAAAAGCCGTTGTATTTAATTAGTTAAAATCATTTAAAAAGTGATTGGATTTCCTGCTATGCACATCCAGAATCATGAAGGTCAGTGGTTTGGAGGTATTCCTAAGTATCTTTTTTTTTTTTTTTACTTGGAACAGGTATGTTTAATTATGCTCCATTAGAATCAAATGTGAGAAATGTAGCCATCGTGTGAAAATGTAGGGGATGAGAGAATTGGTTATGAACAGCACTGCCATTGAAAGTGATATTTTAGATGTGGATCCCATGAGCCCCAGGGGGTCTTAGAAACCCGTTAGTCGTTCACTCGATGGAATGTTTTATTTGGAAACTTGAAATAGAGCCGGACACCTATCCTTGGGTGTCTAGTAATCCCACTTAGTTGGGAAGCTTTCTGGGAATCCCTTTTCTCAGTATCCCTCTCCTCGAGCTCACAGGAAGCCTAGCGTTCGGTTGAAAGACAGCCTTTGCTGGCCCCGAAGGAAGGTCAGAGCCCTGGCCCCGCTTCTGCACAGCGGGCTCCAGGCTCCCGCTGACTGGTTCAGACGTGGAGGAAAGCCACGTCCTCGCACGCATTCCCTGCCACTGGGCCGAGTGGCCTTCAGCACCCGAGACACAGATGGAGACCACTCAGTAACTCATCAAAGGATGAAGGTGGCATTTTGTTAAAAGAAGTAACAGTGCAGCTGTGTCTGGGAAGAGGTGGGGGAAATGTTCCTTTTTAGAGGGGCTGTGCCCCAGCCTTTGCTTCCCTGGGCTGCATGTCAGAGCCTCCCTTGAAGATATTTATGGAATGTGTCTCCTCTCCCCCATGAATTTCATTTTTCCAGTCTCCCTGGAGTGGGGCTTGGGTGATAGGTCTGTTTTTGCAGTGGGAATGAGTATGTACTTTTGCGAGCCAGCTGCCACTATCTCTTCAGCCCCTTCATGAATAAATACAGTGTCTGCTGGGGCAGATGTAATAGAAAAAATATCTTGGAAATGAGGATTAAGATACATGCCTGTCAAGATCAAATGGGTTTAAAAAAGGGGGGTGGGGATAAATGGTTTGTCAAGAATCTGATGAAGTCAAGGTCACTACGTACTGCAGTGAGTTTGTTTTTCTTTCAAAACTTTTTAATTTTCTTCTGCAAGTTAAAAAAATTGGGAAAGAATGTAATCTTAAACTCATGTACTCAAGTTTCCAAACGCACAAAGAAAAATAATTCGTATCAGCGGACGGCCAGGGAAAGGATAATTCTGGAATAGCAAAAAAGAATAAAAGCTTTTCATTCCAAATTATTTCATATAAGAATAACATTGAAAGGAAACAGAAGAACGGAATGTCGGTTTTCCTTTTCTTCAGAAGTAATTTCACAGTGATTCCCAGAGCCGGGAAAGGCAAATACACTGACAGATGTAACATGGAGGGTCTGTTGGCAACTGTCAAAGTCCTGAGGAGAAGAGCTTTAAGCACGTTGGCCACTGCTGGACACATAACCTCCAAATAGCACTGCCTTGTGATGGGAGAGAGACACTTCATTGATTCCTTTTAATGAAAAGTGTACATAGATTAGGTGGTTATATTGCTACCGTGTAATTGTTTAAAGCAAAATTACTTGAAGGCTATTGATTTCATATGAAGAGAGAGAGGTTTGCCAATGAGTAGTGATCAGTGCCCCCCTACGTTACAAACCACCGAAGAAAGAGTGCATTTTATATAGCGTGGATCCATATTAACGTTTGTTTGGGGACACTTGGGTGCCTCACTCAGTTGAGCATCCGACTCTTGATTTTGGCTCAGCTCATGATGTCATGATTCATGATATTGAACTCTGTGTCGGGCTTGATGCTGTGCTTGGAGCCTGCTTGAGATTCTCTCTTCCTCTGTCCCTTTCCCCTACTCATGCTTTCTCTCTCAAAAAAAAAAAAAGAAAAAATTAAAATGAAAGAATGTTTCACTTTATTTTTGGAACATTGGCAATCTATTGATAGCATGTAATGCTTCTCTGTTAACCAAAATGTTGACTTCATAGAAAACCCTATTCCCTTCCATGTTGATTAACAAAGTTTATTGTTCTTGGCACATTTATTTTCCCAGCATTTGTCTTGAAGTAGAATTGAGTCTCGGGCTACAATATATTACCCAGCTGAGGAAATTTGGTTAATAACTGAAAGCGATGAATGAGACTTTTAGTGCATTTAAATATAAAGTATAATCCCTTTTTTTTTAAACCTTTTTTGGAATCAATCACAGACCTACCAGTAAATTCCAAATCTAATACAGAGAATTTTTTTCCTAATTCACTGAAAGATAAGTTACCAGTCTGATGTTGTATTGCTCCTAAATGCTTTATTTATTATTGTTTAATGTTTGTTTATTTTGAGAGAGAGAGAGCAAGCAGTGGAGGGGCTGAGAGAGATCGAGACACAGAATCTGAAGCAGGCTCTAGGCTCTGAGCTGTCAACATAGAGTCTGACATGGGGCTCAAACTCACGAACCATGAGATCATGACCTGGGCCAAAGTTGGAGCCACTAAATGCTTTAGACTGTGTTTCATACAGTGCCAATGCCATTGCACTTACCCATAATACACATATCAAAATTGGGAAATTCACATGGCTCTGCTGTTGTCATTCAGATCCCTCCACCTTCCCCAACAACGACCTTTACAGAAAAGGGCCCAGATCAGAACCCTCCAACGTTGCATTGTGTTCTCAGATCTCTTTGGTGTCTTTCAATCTGGAGCAACCCCAAGTCTTCCCTTGGCTTCTGTGATCTCAACACTTTTGAGGATTACAGGCCAGTTATTTTGTCAAATGGCCTTCAGGGTGAGTTTGATGTTTCCTCCTAAATAGATTCAGGTTATGCATCTTTGGCAGGAATCACAGAGGCGATGGTGCATTCTCCTCATGGTCTCTCAGGGTCTCATTATTTATATTGGTCTTTAGTCTGATGGCGGTCCACCAGGCTCTTCCATTTTGGCATTACTCTTCTCTTTGTGATTAAGGCATATTTTTTTGGAGAGGTACTTTGAAACCAGGCAGATATCCTATTTTATTTACTTATTCATGCCTGGACCATCTTGTGTTTCCCAGTTCTATATAGTGGGTTATAAGCCACTACCAACTCTGGGCTCAGACTTGACCAGTGGGCGCCCCTACAAGCTGGCTTTTGTACCTTTTGTGATGGGTCCCCATCACTCTTTGAGCACTTCCTTGATTTCTAACACAACAAGATGTTTCAGGCTCACCTCATGCTTTCCCTGCGCTGACCCTAAAATCCACCATCACTCTAAGGAGCCCTGTTCCTTTTAGTGAAGAACGGCGCTTAGAAGCAAGATCTGGGCTTATAGGCCTTCTCATTCCCACTGACTTGTCACTACTCCACGGCAAGGTGCACATGCATCCACATCTCCCTCGACTTTGACGTATTAGACGCCATGACTTCCCACTGGTCTTTCCAACCTACCAAGAGTTTCATGCTGGTGTTCTCCCTTCCTGTTAGGATTCCATGGCCAATAGTGAAAAGAGTTGAGTTGCAATGATTCTTACTGTATTTACTTACTGGATCGATGCCGGCGTGTAACCAGTCTCTTACATCAGTTGTCACCCCTACCCCCACACAGGTGTCTTCTCACTTGGCCCAAATTCCCCTCCCCTCACAGGTGTCCCCCTCCTCTGGTTCAAGCTATGACACCCATCCATCTGAGGGTGCCCCCTCCCCCAACTGGGGCTGTGTCCTCTGTGTTTTCCCCATGTAGAGGCTCCTGGAACCCAGTCCAGCTGTATCACCTTGTGTGAATTCAGCTTCCCTGGCTCCTCTAGATGCAGATATTCCTTGCTCTGCCTGAAGGCTGGGGACTGAGTTATTCAGGAGAGAAGGAAATAGGAGGGCAGGAGGAGAGAGGATGGGGCAAGGAAATGGAAGAGAGGGAACAGTTTTTGAACAGAGTTTATTTGTGGAAGAGGAAGAAGTTTTCTCCAGCTGCTCTCTGTGATCCACTTTGGACTAGTGTCTCAGCTTTTCGTGTAATTACTTCATCTTTGTTTTCCTAACTGGGTGGCAAAGAACAGCTTTTCTGGTATCTGGGATGACCCTCAAATGTCAGGAAACTTAAAAAAGAGCAGTTTTACATTGTTGATGTAAGAAGAATGTATTATTATTTTTTTCTTTTAATGCTTATTTATTTTAGAGAGAGAGAGAGCAGGGGAGGGGCAGAGAGAAATAGAGAGACACTGAATCCAAAGCAGGCTCCAGGCTCTGACTGTCAACACAAAGCCCAACATGGGACTCAAACTCACGAGCCGTGAGATCATGCCCTGAGCCGAAGTCTGACGCTTAGCCTACTGAGCCACCCAGGCACCCCAAGAATGAATTATTTATCTTAAAAAAATTTTTAATAGTTTATTGTCAAGTTAGTTTCCACATAACACCCAGTGCTCATCCCCACAAGTGCCCTCCTCCGTGCCTATCACCCCCCTTCCCCATTCCCCCACCCCTATCAGTCCTCAGTTTGTTCTCAGCATTCAAGAGTC